TAATCAGCCTACAGACTGAAGCAGACCTCTGGGTGCTTTGTGTCTTTGCTGGATCTGCTTCTGGACCTGGGCCTTGGATAAGCAGACTTTGGTATGCATTTTGGTCCTGTCCGAACACACCCAGCTTCCAGCAGAAGGAACCACAAGCTGCAGATTTTTTTTTTCTTGTTTTGTTTTGTTTTTTGTTTTTATCCTCACCTGAGGATATTTTTACATTGCTTTTTCAGAGAGAGTGGAAGGAGGAGGGAGAGTGAGAGAAACATCAATGTGAGAGAGACACATCAATTGGTTGCCTCCCTCTCTCACACCAAGTTGGGCTGGGGACTGAACCTGCAACTGAGGTATGTGTCATTGGCTGGAATCAAACCCAGGACCCTTTATTCTGAGGGCTGATGCTCTAACCACTGAGCAAAACTGGCTAGGGGCATGGATTGTTGATAGCTCCAAACAGGGTACTCAAGGCCAGTTACAAACAGCATCTGACATTGGTCTGCACCAGAAACCCTCCAAAAAGACTGGGGGTCCTAGCAGATCTACCTATACATAGAAACTAACCCAAATAGGCAGCCAAAATGGGGAGACAAAAAACAACATCCAAATGAAAGAACAAGAGAATTATCCAAAAGAAAAGATAATGAAATGGAGGTAAGCAATATATCAAATATAGAGTTCAGAATAGTGATAGAAAAGATATGGAAACTGAAGGAAATTAAAGTGACATAGCAGAAATAAAGAATACATTGGAAGGATAAACAACAGATTAGGGGAAGCTGAGGATCGTATCAGCAAATTAAAAGACAGGGTAGAGAAAATCACTCATTCAGAGATCCAAAAAGAAAAAACAATTGAAAAACAGGAAGATAGTTTAAGGGAGCTATGGGGCAATATGAAACGTAACAATATTCTCATCATAGGAGTGCCAGAAGGGGAAGAGAGTAAGTGAGGGATAGAGAATCTGTTTGAAGAAATAATGACAGAGCCCAGCCAGCGTGGCTCAATGGTTGAGCATTAACCTAGGATCCAAGAGATTGAGGTTCAATTCCCGGTCCAGGCACATGCCAAGTTGTGGGCTTGATCCCCAGCAGGGGGTGTGCAGGAGGCAGCCAATCAATGACTCTCATCATCAATGTTTCTATCTCTCTCTCTCTCTTTCTCTCTCTCCCTTTTCTCTGAAATCAATAAAGACATATTTTTGCCCAGCCGGCCATGGCTCAGGGGTTTAACACTGACCTAGGATTCAGGTGATCGGGGTTCGATTCCCGGCCAGGGCACATGCCCGGGTTGCAGGCTTGATCAATGACTCTCTCATCATTGATGTTTCTATCTCTCTCTCCCTCTCCTTTCCTCTGTCTGAAATCAATAAAGATATATTTAAAAAATAAAAATAAAATAAAGACATATTTTTAAAAAAGAAGAAAAGAAAAAAGAAATAATAGCAGAAAACTTCCCTAATCTGGTGAAGGAAAAAGTCACACAAGTTCAGGAGGCACAGAGAGTCCCAAGCAAGAAGAACCCAAAGAAGCCCACTCCCAGACACATCATAATTAAAATGCCAAAAATTCAAGACAAAGAGAGAATCTTAAAGGCAGCAAGAGAAAAGCAAGCTGTTACCTACAAAGGAGCTCCCATAAGACTGTCAGCTGAGAATAAACCGTAAGTTTTGAACATATATATATAGCTGGTGTTCCAGATGGGGGTTGTCCTTCTGTAGCAGATTTAGACAGAGAATGTCCCATTACAAAAACTGGTATCAGAAGACCCAAGAATAAAAGCTCTGAATCTCGCCCTGCTGGCATGGCTCAGTGGTTGAGCATTGACCTATGATTCAGGAGATCAAGGTTTGATTCCCAGTCAGGGCACATGCCAACTGGGTCTCCAGTAGGGGGTGTGCAGGAAGCGGCTAATCAATGACCCTCTCATCACTGATGTTTCTATCTCTCTCTCTCCCTCTCACTTCCTCTCTCTGAAATCAATAAAGACATATTTAAGAAAAATAAAATAAAAGCTCTGAACCTCAACCAAAGGAAGTGATACCGTTATAATAACCTGGTTATTATTTAAAAGGAAAGGAGTAAAGGGAAGACTAGATAATATAGGCATGCCATTTATACAGTCTTGTTAGAAAGCTAAAATTGAACACTCTCCAAGTCTGTTCCCTGATGATTGATAGGGCTAGGGACTGAACAAAGGCAGTTTAGACACATGCCCAATAAGGTTCAAGTGACATGGGAAGGAACTTAGCTGTCAGTCACACCTGATAACAGGTAATTGGTCAGAATAGGTGTGGCCATTGCAAGGCTGCAAACCTGAATATTTAAACTTCTGAACAAAGGGAGTTCTCTCTCTTGTCTCTTGGCCTTTGGCCCTCTTGCTGTCTTGGGACTCCTATTGCAGGGGGCGCGTTCCCCTGCATTCACCCCTGTGGGCTCCACACAATGGACTAATGAACTTTAATTAGGTTGATGCTGAACTGGACCCAGCTGCAACATGGAATAGAAGCTCTGGATACTGGCCCTCCTTTTGGCTCTACTGGAACCCCAGTTGCACCTTTCAGGACTGGGTTATGACTTTACAACCTGAGCAATAGAATTCCATGCCAATAAAAACCATTCATTTTTCTGTATGAGTCTTAGAAAATTCATTTTCTAAAGATATTGTAAGAACTCCACTCCCCCAAGTGAGGAAGGAATTTCATTCTCTTGTAACAGAAGGAGATTCAGAACTGAGAGAACTCACCACTGGAATCCCAGAACTGTCATGGAGATGACAGAGCTCAAAGGGCTCTAGCACAATCCAACGGGGGCAGCACCAGAATTAAAGCAGAGCATTCTTCGGATCCACTGCTGCTACCGTTATGTTGACTGAGTATAAATGTATCAGGAGGCTTTGGCTAGTAATAAATGATAAAGATTTATTCAAAGGTCTTAGAGTTTGCAAACCGGAAACACCACTAGGCAAAATGCAGATTGTTCAGAGGAAGAAAGAAAAGCTGAAGGTTCTTATAGTAAACAGTACATTCTTGAGAAGAACCAGTTCTGCATTCTTAGCCTCTGGACTGGTCCAAAATGGTAATTCTCTAGATGAGAAGTAGTCTGTATGCTGGATGTCAGGTGGTCAGGCTACATGAACATTCTCTCCTTAGTCCTTCAGTGGGTAAACAGAGGGTAATCAGGAGGTTTGATGTACACCTAGGCATTGACGCAGACTGGAAAGTTCAAAAGTTTAAGTTCCCAGCCTGGTTAAAACAAGAATTGTTTCCTCAAGCCTCAACCTACTTGATTTTAGTAATTTAGCTGCTTGACTATAGTGACTCCATTTTATTTCTTCATGCTGTTCCTCAGTCGCAGGGAAGAAAGCCCAACTTCTGAGCCCAATGAGGGCTCACATTCTCTGGGCCTCCCTTTCTGACTTCAGATTTGTTTGTGACCCTGTGTCCAGAAGAGCCTCCTGGGGGTAGGAGGTGCTTTTCTCTTTCCAATTCACCCACCTCACATCCGTCCCCTCATCATTTGCCCAGATAATCAGTGAGACCAAAGTGGCATATGGACCCTCTACCCACATCTTACTCTAGCTTTTTATTTTCTTCTGTCTCTTCAGTCCTACCCACTGAAAGGCAGAAGTGGATAGAATAGTTGGGGGCTGAGTAAAGGAAAAAAGCTAGAATTCACTGAGTGCCTACCATGCCAAGTGCTATGCTAGGTGCCCTGAGGTAGCTTGTGTCATCTGTTCTCTCTCGGCCCCATATGTGGTGGGCGTTTCTATCTCCATCTGATAGATAAGGTTCAGCAGCTGGTTCAGGTTGCACAGTTAGGCCAGGGTTGGCTGGAGGGCCCCCAGAGGGGATTTGGAGTCCAGATGTCTGAATGTCTGGAAGTCCCTTGGCTGTGATTCAGGTGCCAGAGAAATGTGGCTCCTCCCGGGTTCTCTCACAGGTCGCAACAGCCAGAAATCCCACCTGAGCACCCGAGCTGCAGGACTTCCCGCTGGGACTGGAATTCCCAGAGATGGAAATTCCCATGCCCTGAGGGAGAGGTAATTAGGTTCAGGCTTCAGTTTCCTAGGGGCGGGGCTATCTGGCTGAGTTTTGTTTTATGTAGGGTCTCCTGAGCCCCAGCAGTCCAGGGAGTTAGCACTGGGTCCAGGGATCTTAAGGCTCTCTCTCCTGGTGGAGAGAGGACTTCAGGGAGCCGCCTCCCACCCCCAGTACAGAGTTAATTCCAAGAACAAGACCATGCTTCTTTTCTAAGCACGTTTATTCTCGCCACTGACCAGTAGGGCGCTTACAGACACAACTCCCCTGGGGAGCAGAGGTTCAGAGATGTAGTGACAGTCAGTCACCAAATCAACATTATTTAGACAACTTGATCAGATAAATATTTTTAAAAAACATAAGCAAAGGGAGGCACAGAGGTCAAGAGGCCAGGTGGGAATAGCCTAGAGTTCAGTTCCATTTTCACAGAAAATGTCTGAGCCAAGGCAGCCCTTGCCCTGGGTCTCCCGGGACCCTGACCTCCCGAATAAATACTTTCATCAGTAAATAAATAAATAATAAATAAATAATAAATAATCACAAGTGCAAACATAAATAAGGGGAGCTGGCCCCCGGGGAGGGGCTGGGCTCTCCATCTCAGGGAAGCTTCTGGAAACATTTGAAGAAAGGGAGGCCTGAGGTCAACTCATGTCAATTTGTACGTAAGATCTTCTCAAGGCATGTTCTGAAGTGTTCTGGCTAGAACTAAGGAACCCCGTTCCCACATTCCGGGCGTCCCAGGTTGTATTCAGGGATCCAAACCTGAGGCCTATTGCATTCTGAAACCTTGGTGGTGGCCAGTGCCCATTGTCCATGCCACATGTTGGCGCAACCTGGGTTTCTAAGTGTTGTTTCAAGTTCTAAGCTCGGGGCCCAGCCCTGAGCCCCTGATTCCCTTTCTAAACCAAAAGGGGATGAAGAGCCTGAAGGGGTGGGTAATCAAGGGGTTGAGGCTGGACGTCCTGCTCCCTCACAGGGCAACGATCCCAAAGTAGACCTGCCCGGACTCGGCAAAATCGAGATAGTCAGGCAGGTTGATCTCAGCGCTGAGCCGATCGTCCTTCTCCAGCTGGAAGACCCCTCCCAGGTAGACGGGCTCGTACCAGGGCTTGGCCTCAGTCCCCTCTGGGGTCTCCCTCTGGCAGGGGCTCTTGATGGCCGAGAGGAGGCTGACCTTGTCCTGGTAGGAAGCGGCGAAGCGGCTGATGGTGTGCGTGAGGAGCAGGTGGCTCTGAGGGCAGCCCTGGCCCTTGAAGAGGACCTGGGAGTAGACCAGGTACAGTCCGTCCGTGGGCACCACCAGCTGGTTGTCTATCAGCCTCATGCCGTTGGTCAGGAGAGCGTTGGCGATCTTGTTCTGCCACTGCAGCTGCCCCACGGCGTGCTGGTTTGCTGGAGGGGGGAGGGAGGGAGGGAGG